GACCCCCAAAGGGGTTACAACTCACAGGTTCAGAACCGCTGAACCAGAGGAATATTGTGTGTTTCATCGGTGCTATACTGGCCCTGGTTGGCTCAGCCCTTCCTTGTGACCCTGCTGTGAGGGGATGTCCTGTTGTCTACAGATTGGTGTTGGATTTGCTCTGATCCCCCTCGTCCTCAACAAAATGTTTTTGTTTTGTTTTTGGTCTTCTGGTGCCTGTTACCTGATTCTGTCGACACCTCGTGATCGCACAGGTTGGTTCCTTTTTGTGGGCTTGTTGCTTTTCTGCTAGGTGGACGCTTGTTTAACTTCAAGCCTTTAAGACCCCTGATGCTATAGCTTTTGATAGCTGGGCACCATCAGCTTTCGTCACCACATTTGCTTATGCACCCGCGTTGTCTTCGGCGGTCGTGTCGGGAGGGTGACCATCACAGAACACTCTGTCTTCACACAGAGTCCGCTAGCACTGATTGCTTTTAGAGCATTGACTGTGCAAAGTGTGCCCTGAAACAAAGTATGTTTGCTGCTACTTCCTTTGCCAACTGTGAAAATCAAATCAACTTTTAGGGAAAATTAATACAAGCCTAGTCCCAAGAAGGTAAAGGTTAAGTAAATCCTGAGAGTCCCACTTTTCAAAAATGCTATACCCTTTATTACCCCTGATATCAACCACCGCGCCTCCCCTCTGTATATTCCTACATGTGCCTGGGGTCTGAAAACCACTGCAGTGGTCACACGGAACTCACGGTGTGAAGAAAAATGGCTCATGTAGTTGTGGGTGCTGATTGCATGTCAGTCCCAAATCCAGACCTCGAGGCATCTGTCTGGAGGGTCCCCCTCTTCCATATGTGTCCTTGATGGAAAATGGGGTACTAAGACTCATGGTTATGAGTCCTACCCCGACCAAGGTGGTTGGAGGATTCTGACCAATCCTATAAGCTTTTTCGTACATCCGTACCCCACGCCTTTGAACTATGGTGCTGGAGAAGACTATTAAAAGCACCACGGAGAAATAGATCTATGTGCATATATTTATAGGTTTCGTATTAAAGTAGTAGATGGACATTGGGCCTCCACTCAAGTACTCCCTCAATGCAAGAATA